ACCCAACAGCTCTCCTTGCAGTCAGGTTTAGGTCTGAGCAGATCTCCTCATCTCCTCTGCCACTGGCCCAGTCAGGAGCATGTGGGCTGAGGGAGGAGTGAGAGTCCTGAGGGCCCCCTTGCTGCCGCCTCTTGCTCCTCAGGCATTTCAGGAGTGGTCTTCCTTTCCTCCCAGTGACTGCCGTGGGCATTCCGCAGTGATCTCACTTCTCACTATTGCCTCCTCACCGCTGGGCCTGCCTGAGGACCAGAAGGTGCCCTCACCCATACATCTTGACACCTTCACATGGGCCAGGTTGGCCATGGGCCCCGCCGACTCCCCAGGGTGCCCCAGAAGGTCTAGGAGGGCAGGTGTGGGGAGGGCCTGCAGACGAACCCAAAGTGCCTCTGAGGGACTTCAGGGCCCACTGGGAGACAGGGTGAGCACCTGTCTCTCAGTGGCTAAGGGAGGGCCTTGTCCTAATCATATGTGGGTGTGTGTATGCATATATACATGTATACACATATAATGGAAATATATAATTTATATCTTACATATCATATATACAAAATATAAATCTACAATCTGTGTAAAGGCATATTTTTATATAATATATGTGACATATATATTTGTGTGTTAGGCTGTTCTTATGTTGTTATAAAGGAATCCCTGAGACTGGGTCATTGATAAAGAACAGAGATTTAATTGGCTCTTGGCCCACGGTTGTGCAGGCTGTGCAGGAAGCATGGCACTGGTGTCTGCTTCTCAGGAGGCCCCAGGAAGCTTCCAATCATGGTGGAAGGGGAAGGGGGAGCAGGCGGATCACATGGCCAGAGCAGGAGTGAGAGTGAGGGCAGGGGGAGGAGCCACACACTTAACCAGATCTCGTGAGAATCACTCACTACCATGAGAATAGCACCAAGCCCTGAGGGATTCGCTCCCATGACCCAGACGACACCCACCAAGTCCCATCTCCAACACTGGGGATTACATTTCAACAAGAGACTTGTCAGGGACATATATCTAAACTATGTCTATATATATACAAAAATGCTATTATTGTTGATATGTTTTACAAGTGTATTGTCCATTTTCATACTGCTATGAAGAAATATCCAAGACTGCATAATTTATAAAGAAAAAGAGGTATAATGGACTCACATGGCTGGGAAGACTTCACAATCATGGTAGAAGGCAAAGGAGGAGCAAAGGCATGTCTTACATGGCAGCAGGCAAGAGAGCATGTGCAGGGGAACTGCCCTTTAGAAAGCCATCAGATCTCATGAGACTTACTATCATGAGAATAGCATGGAAAAAAACCCACCCCCATGATTCAGTTACCTCCCACTGGGTCCCTCCCACAACTTGTGGGGATTATAGGAGCTACAATTCAAGATGATATTTGGGTGGGGACACAGCCAAATCCCATCAACAAGTTACTTTTTTCTCCTCAATTTGTACTTAAAGCCCTCAACTCAGAGCAGCCAGACTGGGCAAACCCCTTCTTCCTCATCTCCTCTGCTGACTAGCCAGGCAGGAGCACAGCGCAACAGGAGGCCCAGCTACTGCGGTCAGAAAGCCAGGCTTACCAGACCACCTGTGTTTCTAGATCCTTCTCTTTCAAAGACACGACCCATCAGTTTGAAGGAGAGAGAAACACATTCCTTGTGGGAGCAGAGAGAAACTGCTTAATGGGTGAGGGGTTTGGCTTTGGAGCGATGGAAATGTTTTGGAACTAGATGGAGGTGGTGATCGCACACCATTGTGAATGTTCTAAACGCCTCTGAATTGTTCACTTTAAAATGGTTAATTTTATATGAATTTTTAAAAACATTTCCCTCCCTGCGTAGATCTTCCCAGTTCCTAGAAGTGATTCCCAGGCTTCTTCCATCCATGGCTTTCATCTCCAGCAGCAGCAGGTGGGAGTAGCAGTGAGCAGGGTCCTGGTGTCCTGAGAGAGGGTAGGCTCGTGCCCCAGGCTGGAGCCCCCTACCCAGTTCCACAGCAGCCCTTCCTGTCCAGCACAGCCCATGAGCCCCCGCCAGGCCCTGCCCCTGGTCTGAGAACCTGAAATGCAGAGGTGACTCGGACGTGGAAAGGAGACACAGGCCTGGCCAGATCCCAGGGAGGGCCTCAGGGAAGGGGTGCTGCAGGAGAGGCACTCAGAAGACTGGGAAGGACAGCCAGGGCACAAGCATAGAGGGAGGGAGGGGATGGGCAGGGCAGAAAGAGGGTCAGGTGCAAGGGGGCAGGACCTTCAATGCCAGTCGAGACCCCGTCTTGGAAATCCTGACCTTCTCTCTCCTTTGGAGGCACAGGCAGTACTGACAGCCTCTGACCAGGGAGGCCTCCCATGGGCAGAGCCCCCCTTCCCCTCTGCTGCCGCCAGTACTTCCCAGCTCCCTCAGTTCCTAGTGTCATCAGGTCTGTGCACATCACCTTCCCATCTTTTAAACGCACTAGGTTCCCTAGACATACGGTGACATGTAGATAGAAACAGCTGTCACCAGTGAGAGGCAGTTCTTCACCCCCAAATACTAATAAGGTCTTTAAAACATCAGAGGCAGAAAGCCTGGGGAGTGACTGGCACGTGCGTTCTGCAGGGGAATAAGGAAGTAGTGGTCTCCAGCTTGCTGGTGTGTGCAGAGGCTGAGCTCGCTGAGAAACTCCCCCAGCGTTCAGACCTGTGCTTGTGAGCACTCACGATTTCCAGGGCCTGTGCGCAGTGCCTGGGTGTGCAGGGAAGACTCTGCTGTGGACCCTGCTGTCTGTCTAGCATGCAAGAGAAGCTGTGGAAGAGGTGGGTGTGTGCAGAGAGCGGGAATGGAGGACCGTGACGGGTGGAAACAGTGGGCTTCAGGACTTAGTGGGGAGGTCAAGTAGCCAGTACTATGTAGAGCTTTGGGGTCACTGCTGCCTACCTGTGTGACCCCAGCAAGCACTGACTTCTCAGAGCCTCTGCTTCCCAGTCTCTAAAATGATCAGAAGTGTTAGGAGTTCCTGGCCCATCTCAGCAGCAGCGGGAAGGACACGGAAGTCGGGTAGCATGTGGGGGCAGCGTCGGGCAGATGGTGACGGGAGCTGGCACACTTCTTCCTGGATATCCGGTGGGACTGGGCTCTGCCGTCTCTGAAGGCTCTGTGGCTCTCCAAGACTCCTTGATTCACGGCTGCACGTTTTCATCTGTGAAGCGGCACACCTGCATAGGTGCTCAGAGGTCACGCACAGGTCCGAGCGCGTGATAAGCTGAATGAAATTGTTTGGGGCTTTTCCCTGGCCCCACTTTCTGGGGAAGTGTCGCCCTGTTAGGGCCCTTTGTCCAGTCTGTTCCCGCAGCTCACAGCAGGTTGCCGGCACCACCTGAGATGGAGAAGGCCTCTGACCAGGAGTCTCTGAGTCCAGCAGCCCCACTGGACAGCGGCCCTTCCAAGCAAGGAGGGCTCGGGGAGGGCAGCGGCTGTAGCCAGCTGGGCGTTTGTTCTTCTGCATGCTGACCTAAGAACGCTTGTTTCTTTCCTTCCCTAAAGTAAGGTGTGAACATCGCTTTGTTACGTTTTCTTTCTGTGTGGACGCAGCACGGGCCGCTCGTCTTCTCCTGCTGACTGGGGAGGATCTGCCCAGGTTCCTGTTCCTTCTCTCGTGTCCTTTCCTCCTGCTTTGCTGCTTTCCACTTCTACTACGCTTCTTTGTTAGGACTGAAAAAAAAAAAAATGACCACTTAGGTTCCAGAGAAGTCATTCCAGGAGACAATGGGGGAAGCAAAGATTGTCGCTCCCGGAAGCCCACTCAGCAAGGCTTCTACTCTGCTCACTCTGTTCTCCCTGAAACCATAAAGTCAGGGTACGGCCACCCCTGACTACAGGGCTCCCCGTCCCTGCACCACAACCAGGTCCCGCACTGCTGCGACCGACCGTATTGGGCCCTTGTGGGTTCCCAGCTCCGCCCAGCCCTGAGGAAGCAGCCAGCCCTGGAGAGGCCCGTCACCGTCCCAGCAGCTGCGTGGCCGCCACATTGGCACTGAGAGTGCCTGCATCACGCCTCGTCCAGTGTGACCTGATCCTTGGCGTGGCAGGATTTCCAGTCCTGGTGTGGCACCAGAGTCCTCCTCTCTGAGGTTATAATTCGTAGAGGAGCACTCACTCACGGAGGCACACCCTGGGTCGTTTTTGTGTGCTTTTGACAGCGATGCCCTGGGACAGGGTGGAGGGAGGGCGGCCACAGGAGAGGAACCGTGCCTCAGAGCCACGGCCCTGGACCCCTAGTTTTTCCGTTCATTGCGTCCTGTTCCATGCTCTTTCTCTCACATTCTGTTAAAATTGAGTGCACTGGTGAGCCTGGAGTAAGCCCTCGAACGCCCTGGATCTGAGTGACTGAGAGCGACAGTGACTGTCGCCCCCACCTGCCAAGCACCCACTCTGTGCAACGCCGGCCCGGTGCCCCACACACTCCACTTCCGATGCACAGGCACCCTGGCGTGTAGGCGGTGCCGTCTTTTTCAGTGTAACTTGAGTTGCTCATCTGCAGTCACCAGCTGGGATTCAAACCCAGCCAGTCTGACTCCTGAACTCCTCTTTCCTCCCACTCAGACTTTCCCACCTTAGGGAATGTCTAATGCACGTGCTCACTGCTTCGTCTCTGCACAGCCTGTCCCTGCCAGCTCTGTGTCACCTTCTTTCGGCTGCCAGCCCCTGGTGACTTCCCGGTTACAGATCAGAGAGCAGACTCCAGGGTGGAGAGTCGGGGTTCTAGACCAGCTCCCTCTCAGCTCCTAGAGCTCTTGTCTGCACAACTGCCTGGTGCTCAGGGTATGATGAGGCACCTGCTTCTCTCAGTAGGTTGTGTGTCCCGGCAGCAGGGGTGGGACCTGCCCTCTCCCGTAGCTCCCGCACACCTGTGCTGGGTGTCACCTGGCTCTGTCCTGTGACACATTCATATTCGCTGTGTCGACGTCTTCAGTTGCTGGACACCTAAATGCCATCTTCAGTACCTTTAATGCCATCTTTTTTTTTCTTTTTTCACAGCAATGGATGGTGTGCCTTTCATGATTTCAGAGAAGTTTTCTTGTGTTCCAGAAAGTGTAAGTTTTATGCATGATTGCCCTTCTCCCCTTTGCCACCCTCAGCTTGAGGTCCCTGCATCCTGATTTATATGGCATTCAGGGCTGTTCTGGCGGCACTCACACTCCCTCCCCGGAATCTTGTCTGCCTGCATGTCCTCTCTCCTGCTGGAAGCTGAACCCCGCAGCCCCGTGACGGTGACTCCCGAGGTTGGGGGTGGGCCATGTGCCTCTCTGGCCCTATCCACCAGCACCCCATGTAGTAGATGTTTGAGAAATGAAGAAAGCAACAGCTGAGGGATGGGAGAGGAGCAGCAGGCTGTCAGACAAGCTCAGGAGGCTGTGGAGCCGAGCCTTTTCCCTGCCGCATGTGATTAACTCGACCTGAGCTTCCCCGGTTGTGAATGTTCTTTGTCTCCCAAGTCCAGCTTAGTATATTTTGTTCTTTCTTATTTGAGGATGACAACTTCCTGTCGAAAGGAGGCTTCCTCATTTTCCCATTGTCATTGCTGCATCCCGCCCTCTGACACGGGGCGCCCTGCACATGTGGTGCCTCTAGCCATGGCCTCCTGCCCACACCAGCCAGCGTGGACCCCACCATCCACATCCACACTCTCACGCAGGCCAGGCCCATGCCATCTTTTTGTCAGAGGGACCGAGTGAGCTGGCTGGGACCGAAGGCTGACTTCAGACCGTGAGGGGCGCCCATCCTGCGTGGCAGTGGGGTCTCTGTGCCAGGCCACAGGCTCCGCCTGGCACTGCTACGGTCAGCCCTCCGATGGCGCCAGCCCCCAAGGTGTCAGTAGCCTCCTCCCAGCCATGCAGGCTTGGCCCACGCTGGCTCAGAAAACCCGTTTCTGATTTTGATCCTTTCTGCAGAAGTTGGCCTTGAGTAGCTAATAAACATGAAGGCCCCAGCTTGGGCACAGCTAAAGAATCCTTCAGTGTTTTTCTTGGATCCAGCTTAAAAACCACCCGGCTTGCGATTTGACCTGCTCTGTAGTTTCCATTTTCGTGAAATAGAATAGGCCTTCTCTGAACCCTTCTGGTAAGCAGCTTAATCTTGAAAAATGCTTGTGACGTGCGGAGCTCCAGTAACTTCAGCCGACTCCACGGGGCCGCGTTGCCATGGCAACGCTGGCGCCTCTCCCGCCGTTCCCTGGGAGAGGCTGCTCTGTCCTGTGCACCAGCTCCAGTTGGGAGAGTTTAGCGGGGTGGTTAGAGCCTAATGACACAGCAGCTGCACCTCTGCTGGGTCCCAGGCATTGCGGGCAGGCGGCCGCACTCTCGAGCCCCTCGGGCTGGCAGCACAGACAGCACCACACTGTTCCGTGGCTACTGGCAGAGCAGCCGCGAGCGGAGTGTGTGACTCGGTGGCCCCGTCCCAAGACCGCCCTCGTGAATGCACTGCTGCCGCCTGGCCAGGACTCCAAGGCCACAGACAACCAGGCCCAATGCCCTGCGCTCCCCACTCTTCTCAGTGCAGCGCCCCGCAGCCGTGCAGCGCCCCGCAGCCCCACCAGGGATGCCTCCGCTTTCAGTGGGCGAGGAAATGAGGAAGGGATTTAATTTGCGGCTGCATCGCGCTGAGGCGCCGAGGCTAGTTTTGAGTCTGGGTCCTTGGACTCCAGAGCCAGCCTCACAGGAGATCCCTGCTGGCTTGGTTCCAGCTCCACCCCCACCCCTGGGCTACCGCCCTTCAGGACCCTGAGGGCGCCGGGGTTCTGTCAAAGGCCTTCAGGCTTAGCCTGGGTCCCCGGAGGCTGCGCCAGGGACCCCTCGGGGTACACAGAACACTCCTGTGCCCAGCAGGGACTCTCAGACCAGGAGCCACGTGGACTGGGTGCCCTCTGCCCTCAGAGCCTTTGAGTCCAGGCTTCTGTGGGCCTCCTGCTCACTCACCACGATGTGTATTTGATTTTTCATGCTGTCTGTTGAAAAGCCAGCATTTTTTTTAAGTCTCCAATCTTCATGAAAGTATAAAAACTCTCATTAAAATGCAGTGTTATCATTTTTACCACATTGATTTCTCAAACGGTCATTGATGGGCAGTTGTTTTCATTTACCTGGCATTTCTGAAGACCTGGAATCCTCCCCAGCTCCTGCCCTGGATTCCCCCTGAGGAACTCCTCCTCCCTGGAGTCCCTTAGACCTCCTGCCTTACCCAGACACAGTGGCTGGGCGGCCTCGGAGAAGAGCTTGGGCACCTGCAGTTTACAGCTGCAGCGAGAAAGAGCAAACCATGCCTGCATGTTCCGCTGGCAGGGGGCCAAGAGAGGAGAAGCGGGCCAGCCACAGTCAGTCCTCCAGGAGACCTGGGCCCCCTGAGTGCCACAGACCACAACTAGGCAGAGGTCCCGGAGCACAGGGGCCGGCCCCTCGAGGGCCACATTCCTGCTGCAGGCTTTCGTAACTCCTCCTGCTGCCCCCACACATGACTGAGAGTCCCCACTGACGGTCTTCCTGTGGAAGGTGGGTGGGGAAACGCTAGATCACAACGTGGTTGGAGATGTTGCCATTGCCATGCATGAAAGTACGTGTGGGAGGAGCATTTTCCAGCCATTGAAATGGGTGACTTCATCTGTATTTTCAGATGCAGCCCTTTGATCTCCTGGGAATCACCATCAAATCTCTAGCAGAAATTGAAAAAGAGGTAAGCAAGCCTTCGGGGCGGGGAGGTCTGGGCCGTTGCCCACACGCTGGGGTCTCTCGTGTTCCCCTAGAGATCTGCTCCAGGGGAGGGACAGGTGGAAGCGTCCCTTTCTCTTCTGAGGAAAACACTTTCATTTCACCGAAATGTGTATCTTAGATAAAGTAACTCAATTCTAATGTACTTCCCGCTGCCAGTCAAATATGACCCCCAGCTTGTCTTCTCTAAGTCCGAAGGGTGGACGTAACAGACAGCCGTCAGGTCTCCTTTCTGAAAAAGAGTCTCAGCTGTGGGACGGTGTAGGTTGGAGGACAGGCACCAGGTTGACTTTTCTTCCTCCATTTCCTTTATTATTTGCCACCAGGAGGGGTTTGGGGACATGACTGAGCCTCTCCACAATTTAGGGGCGTGTCAGAGTACCTTCCGCTGCGCTTCCTAAGCTGGAATGCATCTGGCAGCCTGGTTCCAAACAGTTCGCACCTTTTCCTTGTAAAAAAGAAAAGCAAGCCAGGACTGCTGGACGGATGACAACTCTGAGGAAAGGGGGTTGAGATGATGGAATCAAACTGGAGTCAGACCACCGGGGCCTCCTGTTGCCCTGAGACAGCACAGGGTGTGTGGCTTCCCTTCTACAGAGCGGGTTGTTTAGCAGTCACACGCCACCGCCAGCTCTCCTCCAAGAGGAGCATTCATCTCAAAGATGGAGATGGTAGAACCATTTCAATATTCTCCATTCCTTGGGGTTTTCTCTTGTGTACCCAGCTAGCAGAAGCAGGCTGCATTATTGAAAGATGGCTGAAGTCAAGCAAAATTGAATCAATGTAGTACAACAAATTTCTAAACCTGTCACAGCAAAAACAAGACAAAAAAGTCTCCCTTTGTCTTCGATTTTCGGTATATCATAAAAACCAACCTGATTGTCATATATAGATTTTTTTTCTTTTTTTTTTTTTTTTTGATAGCTTGGGGGAAAAAATGGCTGGCTCCGACATTACAAACATAGGTGTGCCTAGAATTTCAGGCCTGCCTTTCTCAAAGCAAGGGAGCGCACAGGGCCCTGTGTGGGGTGCATCCCAGGGAGTGTGAGGAAGGCCTCAGAAGGGCTGCTGCTGTCACAGGTGGTCACCAGGGCAGCGGCCACACTGATAGACCTCCGGACCAGCCCCCCTCCACCATGGACGGGGGCAGGTCACAGTTAGCCATGGGATCTCGGCAGAGCCTGCCTCACAGGTGCTCTGTGATGCCAGATGGATGCAGGTGTGATGTGCCAGCAGCACGGGCCCCAGCGTCCAGCCGTCTCCCCTCCCGTTCTGCTTGGGCTGCCTGTGGGCCTCACAGTGGCACTGTTTAAGCACCTGCTGTGTGCTCAGCTTGGGGCCTGAGGCTTTCCATACAGGATCACTGGTTCCCACCCCAGGCCTCATTCCTCCCTATGTCATGGGACGAAATTGAGACTCTGAGATGAGGAGTAACTGGCCTAAGACCAGATGGAGACCCAGTGTGCTGTGATCCAAATCCTCTCCACTGTGATGCAAAGGGGCAGCTCTGTGTCTGTCCAAGGGGGCTCTCTAGGCTGGTGGGGACAGTGGGGTCTGGGAGGCCAGTCAACCTGGTTCCCAACCCTGAGTAGGCCTTTGAGGTACTGGGGTGGGGTGAGATGGGTGAGGGTCCCAGTGTGGGGCCCAGGGTATATGGTGGGAACCCTGTAAACCTTCATTCCCTTTCCCACTCTAAGGACTGAAATCTGCGTTTCATTACAGTGTAGTGTCTCGGTGTTGAGCACCCCGAGTCACAGTGTGGCCACCCCCAGGAGATGCAGAGCCAGGGTGGAGCTGCACCCTGGAGTCAGTGCCTGGCTAGAATCTCAAATCTTCCACTGACTTTTCTGTGCCAACATTTTTTTTACACACAATCAGGATAGTAATAAAAGGGCTTAGTCCTGAGTCTGTGTGGGTTTAACTGAGAAGGTCCAGTGAATGATGGCCTGGACCAGTGCCTGCCTCAGTGGCTGCTGGCTGCCACCTGATCACAGCTGCCCCCATCACCATCATTACTATTCTCCTTGTCCACAGAGAAGGACATGAGTCAGCGCAGGCCCACCCATTCCGCCAGCCTGCTGCTCTGTTGCTGGGGCCGAAGCGCCATCCCTGTGGACCAAGGCCAGCTGTATTTTTTGGGTTTAGTGGTGGGTTAAAAAAAACAGGTCTGGCCCAGGTGTGATGGCTCACGCCTGTAAACCCAGCACTTTGGAAGGCTGAGGCAGGCAGATCACATGAGGTCAGGAGTTTGAGACCAGCCTGGCCAACATGATAAAACCCCATCTCTACTAAAAATACCCCCAAAAAAGTCGCCATGTGTGGTGGCACTAAGCCAGGTGTGGTGGTGCACACCTGTAGTCCCAGCTGCTCGAGAGGCTGAGGCAGGCAAATCCCTTGGGCCAGGGAGGTGGAGGTTGCAGTGAGCCAAGATCGGGGGACAGAGCAAGGCTCCATCTCAAAAACAAACAAAAAAACAGGTCTGTATTTGCTATTGAAGTAAATTAAAGTCAATGTAAAGAAACATAGGGAATGGGGAGAGATTAGAACGTTAAACAGGGTAGAAAACCATAACAAGTATCGCTGCAGTCAAGAGCACCACAGAGTTTTTCATTTAACCTGAGGATTTAAAAGTTCCTTGTACCAGCCATTCGCCTGCTCGTACTGTTGATGTCCGCACACTCGGGCCAACTTGCTCCTTCCGCGGTGCTGACTGAAGCTCTTCCCCAAAAATAAACCTGAAGTTGCTCGTTTTAGCCACTGATCTCAGCATTGCTCGTGGGAGTTGGAGGCCCAAGGAGAAGTGGTACCCGGAGCCAGAGCGACTGGCTGTCACTCCTGGGCTCTGCGTGGTTGGCCCTGGAGCGGGCTGGGTGTCCCCTGGGTTGGGTTGAGTTTGATTTTGTGCTTTCCATTTAGAACAGGTCTGGCTGCCCTTGGTGTGGAGCCTGGGGGTAGAGAAGTCTCTGCTCAGACATTCGCTTTGCTCACTGTAAACCTTTGTATTTTATACCATTAAACCAAAAAAAAAAAAAAAAGTAGAGTAAATACAGTGGGAGGCTGCTTTCAGGTTCAGGGGCACAGACTTGTGCCCATGCCTCCCGCTCATCCAGAACAGCTCCCCAGGCTCACCTGGATTCCTAAACGGGGTGGAGAGCCCAGCCCCCAGGGAGAGCTGCTCTGTGCTGGGCAGGTGCTTCCCTTCGTGATCCCTCTGCACCCATAGGAGGAAGTGGGGCCCATCCCTTTACCAGAGAAGTCTAGACTCCAAGAAGTTAAGCAACCGGCCAGACTCCCACAGCAGTGGCCCAGAGCTGAACAGGGGGCCGAGTGTGACCCTGGCTGAATGTGTGACAGTCTTCATCTAGTAAAGAGTGGTCCCATCTTGAAGGGAAGCAGAAGTGTGGGCCTGAGGCAGCACTGTCTTATCTGTCCAGAGCCTTCTGCCAGCATTAGCTGTCCTCGCTGGGCCCTGCCTGAGGGAGGATTCTGAATTGAAGCCCAAGCAAAATTGCCACCGTTTGTTGGAGGGACAGTCACCCTCCAACAAACCCCGTGACCCTGTGCACGGAGGTTAGGGACGTGGGCAGCCAAAGGGAGCCCCCCAGAGCCAGTCAAGCAGAGCTGCCCCACCCCCAGCAAGGGCACAGATGGCCTGAGCCTGCCAGGCCCAGGAGCACCCGGCATGGATTGACAGACAGGGTGTCACCCAGTTATGGGTGGGCAGTGTCCCTCAGCCCCCAGCATTCTGAGGAGACCCGGGGAGCATGCGCTGCTGGGTCCAACAGCCAGGCCACCCAGAAAACAGGAAGGGGAACGAGCCCACTCAGACGCTGGTGCCTGCAGGGACCCTCATGGGCTGCGCAGACAGTGGACGGGACACAGCCTCCCAGTGTGGATGCCTGGGGTAGGGGACAAATCTGCCATCTAGATTTGGCTCTGGGGCAAGTTCCCAGGCCCCCTCACCCCAAATTGGAGCACAGGCCTGCTCGTCCCAGCCCAGCGCCCGGCGCAGTGGTCAGGGCACCCAGCAGCTGCCCTGCTCTTCACCGGGGTCTCCACAGGAGTCGTGGTGCCTGATGCACTTGGGTGAAGTTTCACGAGAAACGCGCAAGCATGGTCTTACTTTAAAGTTAAAATATATGCCATTGAGGAAATTTTGAAGAAAAGGATCTTTGAAAGACAAAAGCTCTCGGATGTGCTCCATGATGGCGTGGGTGGGCGAAAGTGAAGGGAGCCGTGGTTCACAGGGGAATTCCAACCCGAACACCTGCCAGCTCCCCGTGACAGGGCGGCAGCCTCCTGCCTGGCCCGTGTCTTCCAGCAGCCCTGTGTTCCTGCCTCCTGTCACCTCGCACCCAGAGCAGGGGCTTCCCCGTCCTCCCAGGGCTCACGTATATCAGTACCAGGCATGAGGAAGTGAATTTAGGTGACTGGGGACTGGCCAGTGGCAGCCTTGTGGCCACAGTGGGCAGTTTTCTGGCCCTGGCCCCATCTGTCCCTGCCCTGCCTCCTCCCCTCCAGTCTGGCTCTGCAGGAGGGCAGTGGGTGACCCAGTGGGGCTGTTATCCCAGTGAAGCCCTTACAGTTTTCCCTGCTGCCCAGACAAAAGGCCGTCTGTGTCCCGGAGCCTGGAAAGTGTAATTTCGCAGCCAGCACCCATGATGAAGCATCTTCTCTGGGCGTGAGGAGATGGGCGTATAAATATTCTCTGTCTCTGCCGCTCTTTATTTCCCTGGTAAGCAGTTGCCCCATTTCTCCAGCTGATGGATTCCCCATCGCAGCCAGGGTGGGAGCTCCCTGGCTCTGCGGTCCAGGCAGAAGCTTCTAAAATCATCCTCGTGTCTTGGTTACCTGTGTATCCTCCCTCCCCACCTACTATCTTGCCCTGGCTTCCCTGGCAGACCTCACCGTCACAGCCAGGAGGCAGCAGCCTTGGGTATAGGTTTCATGCTGCGTGCATAACTA